ACATAGTGCATACGTCCAAGTTCAAATATTACACATCATGACAAGTATTATATGTGTTAGTCACTTACCACTATTTGTGCTTTGTCAATATGTGGGTCATGTATGCCTTCTCTTGGGCGCAGCGAGTTATAATGCCTCCATACATTCTCTTTCACGTCGTACACAACAATTGTCCAGTGGAAGTTGTCGTGTATTGGAAAGATTAAGAATCTCTGGCCTTGATACTCCTTGATGTGTACATCAATCAGTTTATTTCTCTTGTGGGGGGTACTCTTGCATGATTTTCTACACACAAAGGGCATACAATGATGTACCAAGTATTTATATCAATGTTTGATGTGATTGTTCACATCTGCTAATGGTGAGTGATGTTACTGATGTAAATGTTCACATCTGTTAATGTGAATGATGTGAATGATGTGAATGTTCACATCTGCTAATGGTGAGTGATGTTACTAATGTAAATGTTCACATCTGTTAATGTGAGTGATGTTACTGATGTGAATGTTCACATCTGTTAATGATTAGTGATGTGAATGATGTTAATGTTCATATCTGTCAATATGAATCTTCTCATCTATCATTTTATGTTGTTGTTAACATTCACATTTGCCTATCATTTAAGTTAACAATATAAGCATATAATGCTGAGATGAACATTCACATATATTGAAACATAAACAAAGCAAAAGTGTAGTGGTTACCAAACATGTGCTTGTAAAGATGAATATTGAATCCTCTAAACTTGGGTTGACTAGCCTTGTAGTTCAAGTAGAATTTCACCATATGCATCTATCACCTGCAGAAACAGAGAGGTGGCAGTACATTATTTGCAGTGTCTTTACAGTGTGTGTGTGTGTTTTGTACACATTTACAGTTGCCATACGCTGTTGGTTATTGATTCTTCCTTGATGATGTGTATGATGTCATCAAAATACACATCTTCAGTCTTTGAGTCCCTTCGCCACACTAGCAAACTGTGCATTGTGATTTCAGAAAACGTTAATGTCAACATTGCACATTTATGAAATGGTCTAATTTATTAAGTATGTATGTGAACTGAACATGAGCGAAAAAAAAAATTCAGTAGGAGATATGTAAGATCACTTACTCATCACCGCCGTTCTTGGGCAAATTTTGGACCTTCTGCTTGTTGAGTTTGCTCATGTTGGCCCAAACCTTCAGTTTGTTGTTCAAGGTTAAGTTCTTGTACTTTGTTGGCTGCTTTTTTTGTGGATGCTTGTCTAAATCTTGTACAATTTGGACTGCATGGGATTGCTCTTCGGCTCCCTCTTTCCCTTTCTTTTGACCAGGCAAGTTGGGGTATTCAAACTCATCCAACCGGTGTTCTTTCCTTACCTTCTGCTTGATGCGCTTTACCCTCGATGGTGGGTTGATAATGTGTTCCAATGCTGCAGTGGGATGCTTCTTAAGGCTGTCATGTGCCTTTTGTGCTTCAACTTGAGTGATAATGTGGATGGACTGATCATCAAAAAGGTCTTGAAGAATTGTTTTTTCACATTCCAAGTTGATGACCAACTTTGTCAGCCACTGAATTTCTGTATCTTTCCACTCCATGCAATTCTTCATGTCCATGTCCATATTGGATGGGCCCGACTGGTCAAATAGTTTGGCTTTAAGGGTAACAATCACCCTTGCCCTTAACTCCCATGATTCTTCCAACTATTTGTATTTCGCTTCCCATTATCGTACAAGACCCCAAGCTTTTTGGTTTTCTTTTATAAGTACATCCACAATGTTCGGCTCAGTTGGTTGTGTTATGATGATACCTCTCTCAGCATTGGGGGTGCTACAGCTGGGATTGATATCATGTCCAACGTCATTCAGGTCCATTGCATCGACAGAAAATCCATCACTGTCGTCACTGCGTTGATTGTCTTTACTTTCATCATCATTGCTTTCATCTTTCTTTGCTGGTGCACTTGACAAAATCTCAGGTTTGGGCTCCACATTCAATTTTGTATGATGGTACATCTTCGATTCAGTTGGGGATGCCATTAGCTCGCCGTTATATACCTGCAGTTGGAGACATTATGTTAGTTAGATAGTTCCTTGTCTCACTATGTGAATGGGCACAATATTTTTGGTTGTACTTCTACCTTATTTAAACCAAGCTTAGCCAAAGATATGGACTTCATGTTGTTATGTAAGGTTGTGAGGTCCCACTTTACACATCGCGGAATGGCATTGCGGTTGCGGGGTTGTAAGATTGTTGTATGCTCACACAACCAGTACTGAAACAAATAACAAATATCAGTAATGTGAATGTTCACATCAATTAACACTGATGTGAATGTTTACACCAGTGGCCAGTAATGTGAATGTTCACATCAATTAACACTGATGTGAATGTTTACACCAGTGGCCAGTAATGTGTGTTTATCCATTGCTGAACAACAATATGAATGTTCACATTATTGATGTCAACTTCCACACCATTGCCCAGTAATGTGAACATTCACATCAGTAATGTGAATGTTCCACAATTGTTTTGGTGCTACCATCACATCAATCTACACTGATGTGAATGTTTACAGCAGTGTCTACTAATGTGTGTTTGTACATTATTGAACAGTAATGTGAAAGTTTACATCACTGATATCAACTTCCACACCATTGCCTAGTAATGTGAATATTCACATCAGCAATGTGAATGTTCCGCATTTGTTATGGTGCTAACATCACATCAATCTACACTGATGTGAATGTTTATACCAACATCTACTAATGTGTGTTTGTACATTACTGAACAGTAATGTGAATATTTACATTACTGATGTCAACTTCCACACCATTGCCCAGAAATGTGAACATTCACATCAGAGTGGGCAAACCCCGTAAATGTTCATATTAAACATAGAATAAGTTTTATGAGATTTACCATCAACAACATCATACATCCGGTGACTCGTCCTAGTTTTTCACAGTTTTGGCCCAATGAACCCATCAGGGTTGCCCAGATGCTCACAGCCTAATCATACTCGATCATGTTGTCTAATGGGTCTATGTATGAGTAAAAAGCCCATCCAATTGTTTCTCTGGACGTAGAAAAGAATAGCTTGACGCATGCATACATGCAAACTAATCTTACGACCTCTTCATTGTCTTGTTTCTTTGTGCCCTTTAATGCTTCGCTCAGAATTTCTCGTATTTTGGCAGCACTTAACCGACTAACATCCTTGCACATTCGGTGTATGATGCCGGTTGTTGGTTTTGCACCATAAGAAAGGTCCATCGACTTGGTGCCGCAGTCCATCCCAAAAATCAGTGATACATCACTTCTAAAAATCTGGATGTTCTCATTCCCAATGTAAAACCTCACACTAGATGGCTTGAATGTCTGCACTATACGTACAACACCATCATCATATTTCATGCAGTGGTTGAGGTCGACTTCATTACTGATCAAGTAATCAAATAATGGCCAAAACGGTGTTTTTCTAAGGCACTTCAATTGGCCACTTGTAAATTTTGTATCCTTTAACAGTTTGACCAATCCAGTTATATTTGACCGGTAGTTAACTTTTTTCATGTTCACTTCTTTAGGAACAACTGTTTGATCAGGTTTGGCTTTGGTACGAGATTCCCCTCTCTTTTGCTTGCCATCAAATCTATGGGGAAGACCTGGGTGTTCAAATAAGAACATATAATTGGCTGAGGATGGAACCAAAAGCACCAAACAACATTCAACAATCAACAGTGATAGTAATGTGAATATTCACATCATTGTACACTGATGTGAATGTTCACATCAGTGTATACTAATGTTAGTTTACCCAATATAGTAATGTGAATGTTCACATCATCTATGTTTGCAAAATCAATTTCGAAAACAACAATAGTTAGAGGGCAATGTAAATGTTTACATGGGTGATCATACTAAATTGGGAGCTCTAGAGCATCACTAATGATGTGGCACAGTGGCCCCCACCAAAGTGATGTGATGTTTTGGCTTGAGTTTGTTTTTTATTTTTTTTTTTAAGCTCATTAGAGCTATTAGTGGTCCAAAAATTAGTGGGATGAATCACCACTCATCATATTATGCTATAATTGGCTAAAAATCAAAGGGTGAAACCAACAGCACCAAACAACACCCACCAACACAAACAAGTTTGACATTGATATGGGGAAGACCTGGGTGTTCAAATAAGAACATATAATTGGCTGAGGATGGAACCAAAAGCACCAAACAACATTCAACAATCAACAGTGATAGTAATGTGAATATTCACATCATTGTACACTGATGTGAATGTTCACATCAATGTCTACTAATGTAAGTTTAGCCAGTAATTAACACTAATGTAAATGTTCACATCATCTATATTTACAAAATCAATTCTGAAAACATCTATGTTTACAAATTCAAATTCGAAAGCCAGAAGGTGGATGTATACATCGGTGATCACATTATGATTGAAAAGCAGAAGGTGGAATGGTATTGTTTACTTTTGTTCCTCATGGTGGGTGGATATGGACCACACTTAGTGGATAAAACAAACTCAATCCAACGACAGGAATTTTCGAACGACGAAGCACCCTCCTTCCGTTGTGAACCTTCGCAGCGGTGAGATGAAGAGGAATCTAGGGTGGACGGTGGACGACGACGACGTTGGTGAGGCGATTTGAATCTAGGGTTACTGGAGGCGATGCGAATCTGGTTTTGTGGATTCAGTTTTTGTTTTGGAAATTTTGTGGATTGAATAGGTGGAATGAGAATGGGTTTTGCAGGATAGGTTACACGCGGGAGAGGCGGAAGAGGGTTATTTCGTCCTTTTACAATTAATGGACCTAATGGAATATTCAGAAATAATTTGCATTTTATGAAATAAAACAGTTAAAGCCCAAAAAAAAAAAAAAATTAAAAAGTTATTAAAAAAACCTATTTCCAAACAAGTCCTCAATCCAGCGGCCAAGATCAGAGCATTCTATTTTTATCGAAAAGGGCCATTCTCGTAATTTCAAGTTGACTTCCACAGTAGATCTGGAACACCAAAACAACAAACCAGCGTTTACAGCGTACGGTACGGCCAGAGTGTCCGATTGCAACCCCCAGTCCCGGAATGCCCACTAGGCATCGTCGTCGACGTCCGTAGACGAAACAACAAGCCTATTCTATTCCCCAAATCATGATCAAACCCACTTTGACTCTCTCCTTCACCTTCTCTCTCCTCATCTTCGAAACCCTAACATCAATCTCTGCTCACCCAACCCTAAACATCTCTCACTTTCTCTTTCCCAAGGTCAGCCACGAGCTTCGTCCTCAACCCTCTCCTTTCTTCCAGGTTCGTATCAATTTCTTTTCAATTATTGCTTTTAATTAATTAATTAATTATTATTATTTTTTTTGAATCTGAGTCGGTTGGTATGTATTGTTGTGATGATTTTGAATCAGGATGTTTTGAGAGCTATATCGGTTCGGCAAGAGTGGAATAGCTCGGAGGGCGTTAGGGTTTCGAAATTGGATTCCAGGAAAGTGAAATTCGGTAGTTCGCAGAGGTATGAGTTTCGGCTTCGGATTGGGAAGACTGAGTTGATCTTCAAACTTAGGGACGAGGTGGCTTCGTGGAAGAAGATGAAGAAAGAGGGAGATTTTGAATCTTTGGTTAATGAGGCTAGTTCTGTGGCGGTGCTCGATGCGTTTATAGCCCAAGGTCCTTTGGAATTACGCGTGGGAGGAGATGATGAATTCTCGGTGCTCTTACCGGTATAATCTTAATCTTGAATAGTATTGTTTGCTGTAAATTATTGAACAGATTTGAGAATTTAAGTGTCATAAATATCTCTTTTTGTAGAAACCAATGATTTGATTAATTCTTTTATGTTATGGTTTTTTGAAATATTGTGAAGAATGTATTGTATATATATATTCTTTCTTTGGGAATGATTACTGGGGCTTGGATTTGGAGCATAGTTTGCGCTCATTGCTTCTTAAAAAGATTGGTTTTTGGATGTCAATTTCTCAATTTGTAGATAGGGAGAGTTTATTTTGAATGACCAAGTGGGGAATTTGAGCCCTTAGAAGGGAAGTGAATTTAAATGTTCGTCACCTGTTTCCTGGTTGCAATTTTGCAGGAAGTTATTACATTTAGAGGTTGTAGTCCTCTGTAAGAAACAACTTGTGTAGTATATCTGAGAAGCTAATTGATATATGGTGGGCTACTAAAACAATAGACTAAGTTAACGCTTTTAGCTGAATGGAGGTTAGCATGTTACTCATGAACATTCGATTTAGAGGCGTGTGATTTCTTGTGACTTGAGGCTTGCATAAATATCAAAGCAATTCAGATTGGAAGATGAGTTTGATAACATATTCAGTGTTTTAAATTTGGGTATAGATTTCATGGCAGTACTGTTTTAAGCGATGCGTGAGATTTTGGCCAGTTTTTTTTTTTTTTCAGTCCAGATATGTGGGGAAGTTTATAAAGATTTGACAAGTGGACGGTATTCTGTACAATTGTATTTGAATTTTTACTGTTGTCCACTTGAGCTCAGTTGGGTTCACTAATACCATTTCTTAACAAATCTCTGGCATTTTTGTCATGCATCGAAGCAAGCAAAGTTGAGATGTTATTTGAACTGAAAATTTGATTTTTTTTAATGCAAATTTTAATTTGTTATTTCAATGTTGCAAGTTGCTCTTGTTTTGTTGTGTTTTTGTCATTATTATGGCCTTAACCGTTCTATGGTTTCTTTTTTGCGCGCATTATCTGCAGAAATGTCATTCGCTTTCTGTTTTTCTTCTGTATCATGTCTGTTATTATCTATTTAATCTTGTAATATGAAACCAAAAAGTTTGCACTAGTGTCAAGTGAAATGGCATATTTTAAGTTGACTAAAGGCTTCAAGGTGTTTTAACTTTTCTTGTAATTCTAATTGGAGTCAAAATTTTTAGAAGAGTATGTTTCTCTTATTTGCCATTGAAATCCTTCTGGTGCTTTAAGCTGCTGAATATGCCCAAGATTTTCACTGGCAAGTATCCATTTAGTAGTTGTCCAGTCATACTCATGGACATTTACAATAGCTTAGGGCTTTAATTTGATAACTTAGTTATTGTAATTTGGTGAAATAGCTTTAGATTGTTGAGTTGTGTTTTACTGCAACTTGATGCAGGACAGATTTGAAATAGGCCTAAGTATGAGCAAAAACACAAATAACAGGGCTGTTTTTGGGGCTGTGAACAGTAGACGTGAACAGTGATTTGTAGGAAGTAGAGGAAGGGTTAAAGAAGGATAGATCTAGATATCACACTTAGAAAACCCAAGGCATCACACCAAGGGGCTCGTTAGTATCACACTAAAGAAAGATTGCATCGCACAATCATAGAAGTATAAGCTTAATTTTCATTCATTCAATCCATAATTTGCCACAAGACTTACAATATAATTTATACTAACTTCATCTTGACTCTAAAACTTTCCATATTAAATGACATGACTAACTTACTCCCTAGGACTCTTTAATACATTAATCATGTGAAAGACACCAGAAGACTCTTTGACCAACTAAATAACCCAAAGACCTTGACTAGAAATTTAAAGACATTTGACTTGAGAAACTCAAAAGACACTTTCAAATAAATTCCAAGTCTAGTTAATCTCCCAAGTAGGCCCCGCATCATCTTGCACATGCCAGATTAAGGCTTGGGCCTTAGAACCGTTGGATCCACGCCTTTTATAGACTTTAATTGGTTGCTGCCATTTTCCATCACAACTATTGCTGCTGACACTGCTACTACTGACACTACTATGGCTACTTTCATGGTTAATATTAATATTCATTATTTTCTTTCCCTATTGTGAGATGCACTTTATCGTATCTATAGGCCAATTATATTTTTCATATTCATTCTAAACTGAACAACTGAATGTGGTGTTCATATTTGAATTTTCTTTATTTTGGATGTATCATATCAACATGCATGTCTATCAGTGCTTAAATTCCTGTCTCTGTGCTATGAGCCTATGACTAACACTCGCCTTTTTTACCTTTGATTATTAGCTGAACACTTCACATACTGGTCTGAAACGGATCCTTGTTGGTGAAGGAATCACAGTAGAAGTAAGAAATGCTCAAGAAGTCTCTCTGTTTCAAGCACTGGAACTTGGGCTACAAGCGAATAAAAGTGTTACAATAAACAGGGAGAGAAGCAAGTATTGGCCTTTTCAGCACTCAATATGTAAGCCATTACTTCCTGTACACATTTCAGGGTCTGTGACGGTGGCTGCCTACAAGTCCCAAAACCCTAATTCCTATATTGAAACTGCTTTCCCATCAAAAGACACAATTGAATTGCTGCCAGAAAAATGTTACATTAGAAACATCTACAAAAAGCGGCACTGCCCCATTGATTCCCTGAGTTTGAGGATAGCTGTGGTGGAGAAAATTTTGAGGAGATTTCTAGGAAACAAAATCCAAAAGAACAGACATTTTGGTTTTCTAAAAGCAAATATCAAAGCATCAACCGTTGTTCGATTCAAGATGGAACTAGAAAGGGATATCAGAAGCAACTACACTCTCTGGGGCACATTGGCTGAATGGAGAACAAGGCCTACTGTCGAACGTGTTTGGTTCGAGGTAGTGGCTAGGATTGAGGGAGAGAGGTTGAAGCCGCTAGTAATTAAGAAGTTACGACCTTTCATCGAGGTAGATTCATCTGCTTGGAGTAATTTGATGTCCAATATTTCTTTTACAAAGTTTCCATCAGTTCTTGTCCCTCCGAAGGCTCTAACGCTGGATGTGAAATGGTAGGAGAAATGGCATAGGTATTTTCAGGTATTTTTGTTGATCTATCAATGTATTTGTTCTTTCTCTTTGTTAAGTGATCAGTTTAATACATGCACGTGATTTGTAAAAAAGAATTGTTGTTGGCTTTTGTAAATTACAAGAACAAAAAAAGAAATGAAAAATAAGATTACTTACCAATGATTGTTGAAAATACTAGGTTTCTAAATGCTTGTGTGTTTGTTATGCCATGATTTATCTTCGTTTCTCTTTTGTGTTTTACATGTTGTGTTTGGATATTAAATATGTGTAGATAAATAAAAAATAAAGATAAAAATAAATGAAATACAAGTTAAATTATTTTTACTTTTGTTTTACCTTTTGTATTCTTTGTACAAATCTAAAAGGAATTAAGCTTAAAACTGGATTAAAATTACAAGAATATATTTTGTCGAAAGTACAAGATTTTCCTGATACTCTTGAAAATATAACACAATTACAGAGTTTATTAGGCATTTTAAATTATGGATGAAATTTTATCAAAAATCTTTTAAAAATAGAAATTCCTTGGTTAACCAAATTAAGGAAAAATGTGATTTTTGAATGGACAACAGAAGATGTTTTAATTAAACAAATTAAAGAAAATGTTAAAACTTTATCATATGTTTATCTTCCTAAAACAAAGAAAATGTTAAAACTTTATCATATGTTTATCTTCCTAAAACAGGTGATAAATTAAAACTTCACCGTATGTTTATCTTCCTAAAGCAGGTGATAAATTAATTCTAGAAACAGATGCCTCAGAAACATGCTGGGGATGTGTTCTTAAAGTTATACCGAGTAATTTATGGCATGATAAATAGATACCTTTATCAGAAAATGGGATTAGACTAAGAAAAAATTCAATACCCATAAAATTACAAAAAGAAGAATTAATTTGTGAATATAATTCTAGAACATTTAAACCAAATGAACAGAAATATATTATTTTTGAAAAAGAATTACTTGCAATAAAATTGGCAATAAAGAGTTTTCATATTTATTTAGCCCCACAAAATTTTATTGTGTGCACTGACAATAAGGCAGTAAGAGATTTCTTGATCAATAAAAACCCTATTTAACAAGGAAGAAGATTAGCCTGATATAATAAAATTTCTGAATATACTTTTGAAGTAGAACATCTTAAAGGTACTAATAATTTTCTTGCAGATAGTAGGAATTGTTTCAGAAAATTAAATTACTAAACAAGTAATTTTAATTTTTGCAGAAAACCTCTAGACCAAGAGAAAACAATGAATAAGGGCAAACAACCTGCTCAAGGATATTGGGTGACAATTGCTAAAAAAGCAATCCTCAGACAAGAAAGAGTTTATGTTGTATTCTTAGGAAAACAACCTGGAATTTACACAAATTGGAATGAAGTCAATCAGAAAGTTTGCAGATTTTCAGGAGCAAGCTATAAATCATATGATAGCATGGCCAAAGCTAAAAAAGCTTTTTACAGTGCACCATCTATGCCGGTTTATCAAAAGAATTATATTCAAATGAGAACTAACCCAGTTCCAACTAATATTCAGACATCTAAACTAGATGAATCTGAGATAAAAGATTTTTTCAACCCTGGTATGTCCAGAGAAATTTATACATAACTCAATGGAGTTTGGAAAATTCACATTGTAGACAACAAAGTGACATTTCGAAAACACATTGGAGTTCTGATCAACAAATTAATTGAGCAAACAGCTAAATTAAAAGATTTGCAAAATCTTTGTTTCAATATCCTTAAACAAATGAATTGGAATGAAAATTTTAATTTTGAAAAAATAAACAATTTTCTTCAGCTATTAGACCTCATATCAGATGAGTTTTCTGATCTAGTTTTTGAACAAATAAAAAGAATTTGTCTTTTTGAAAAAGCAAGAACTTTGCTTCCAAAAGAAATTTTTATGTTAATAAAAAATCGAGTTGAAGATCATCATGATATGATTAGACAAATCTTAGAACGATCTTATGATAAATTAAAATTGAAAGATGGAATTCTCAAAATAACCATCATGGCAAACTATGACATGTGGTTTTTTGAGGATATAGATTGGGGAATAACTAATCAAGTTGTTTTTCAAATTTTAGATCCAATCCAATGGATAAATTATCCAATGATCATCAAAGCAATGCTCTCATGGATAGTAAAAGGCTTTCGATAGAGTAAATATTTTACTTTCTAGATCTCCAGCACTGTTGGTTGGCGAGAACGAGAACATTTTTTTCCAACTATACCAGATTTGGTATCTTAAAGAAACTGAAGATTTTGAATTTGAAAATGATTATTTAGATAAAGATCACCGGAGAGAGCGATTGAAAAATATCCAAAAACTTTCTTTGACAGAATATTGGATAGACAGTCTAATATCTGTTTCACAAGCAGCGTCCAACATCCATGGCTCAGCAAAATTGCCATTCATGGTTACAGATGGTAGAATATTATTTGTAACCCATTTTTCCATAACATATCAAAGGTCTCCTACTCAAATTAATGAGCCTCTTGACATGTTAATAAATCTCAAAAAAAGAAATAATTTGGATCTTCCATTGGAAATAGCCATGACTGCGAATGATGTAGAACATTTCCGGAATGAGCAATACAGCTAGGATCCGGATTCCCCTCCATCAGAGATTGATGAAGAATATCACAATCTCATCAACAGGATAAAAGCATAGTGGATCCCGCTATCAAATGCAGCTGTCTCCTAATCGACTCCAACCTTATCCAGGACATGTGGAGCAACCTGCATTATTAGGCGGAAAGTGATTAGCCAAATCTTTTCAGTCGATGCTACACGACAAATCAGCTCAACCAAAACTTATCTAAAACAGTCTATCTCTTTGAAAACTGGGGAGGATAGATAGACAGTGTATATAATTATGTATATAAATGTAGTGTCAGAATACTACCAATAATGGTAGATTTTTATTTATTATGGTCAAGACTTTTGTGATCTTGTATTTATTTTTTTTGTAGACATTTTGTCCAAGCCTAGTCTAGGTTTATAGCCTTTAGTAGAAAGGTGTAAAATTTTGGACGTATTAGTATGCTAAGTTTCTACCATGTAATAATGATAGGTAGACTAGCATGACTTTATAGTTTGTTTGTAAATGTAAATTGTAGTCTATGAATTGGCTTTGAAGCCAACGGAATAGAGAATGTAAATTCTCCATCTTTGTGCTTCCAACTTCTCTAACTTCTCCATCATAATTCCATACTCCATAACTCCATCATAATTCCATAATAAAAATAGTAAAAAGCTCATTTTCTTTTTTGTTGTTTTAAGTGGTATCAGAGCTTGGTGAAGAGTTTTTGAAAGCAAGATCAAACTATGTAAGTATTCCTATCTATGTATGAATTTTGACATATATATAAGTGTGTATGGTGTGGTTTTTGTTATTAAAAAAAAAAAAAAAATCAAAGTTTTTGTATCCTTTGTATTTTATATCTTCCTAATTATTTGTTTCATTTATAGTTGTTGTAAAGCCTGCATGCTTAGTGTATGTCAAAGCCCATATACTCATTAAGATCTTTTGACTATTGGCCATAATCAAGTCTTTAAGATCATAAAGAGAGGTTTTATGTGCTCTTGGTTTTCTAAATTAGATAAAAATTAAAAAATAAATCAGAATTATCTAGAAACCAAAGTTGAGTCCATAGAATCTAAAATAGACAATTTGGGTTCTATAATAAATATTGACTTAAATAAAGATGCATAAAACCAAATAAACAATTTGGTGACAAAATTAAAAACTATATCCTTCATAAACAATGATGGAATGAATAGTCCAGGAGATAGTTACATTCCTAGGCTATTTTATGGTACAAAAGATATTATGGTATTTCAAACCAATACCTCTAATAGGACTGAATATGAAAATATTGTTGAAATATTGGATTATTGGAGAAAATTATATAAAGACCCAGATTTAGATATTGATGAAAGAAATAGGCTACTAGATCAGATAAGAGAAACTTATCTAGAACATGAAGCCCTTTTAGAGTACTTTAATTATGATATTAATATGTCAACTAATGATGATGATAGTCAATCATCCTCATCTGAAGAAACATTAGATCAAGATATTTCACCAGAAATAAATAAAGGGAAAAGAAAGGCAGAAGAGCCAATTGATCCCGAATTATTTGGCACATGGGGAGATGGAGAAAATTTTGACTTTATTCAAACAAATGAAGTTAAAAATAATACTAATATTGGAAGTACCTCTAATCCTACACCTGAGCCAGTAATATCTAAAAAAGATAATAATCATAAGTATCCAATAGCTCAAAATGATACTTATTTAGATTTGTCTCATGTTCTATTTAAGGATCAAGAACAAGCAATTGATGACTGGGCACAATCCTTGTCCATCATTATTACCAATTATAAAAAAGTTGGTCAAATGAAAAATTCCTTGATTATATTGCAGCAACTCTCCAGGGAGATGTGTTGCAATGGTTAAGACAGTGGGAAAAATTTGAAATTGGAAAAAATCAAAAAATGGCTTTGTTAACAAATTTTCTCACACTTGACACAATTTAGCTGAATTTGCAAAAATCATAAAAGAAAATTTATGTGGTTTTGCAGGAGATACTAATTTGCAAGTAGATGCAAATTATATTTTGACTAAATTAGAATTATGTAATATTTGTCTTTTTGAAGACTATGTTCAAACTTTTAAAAAATATTATTAGCTTATTGATCCACCGACAAATCAACCCTAGTTAGATAATTTTTTTCATAAACTCCCTAATCCATGGGATGAGTTATGTATTAAAATATATTCTGATTTTCTCAAAAAAATGGGGAAAGAAGAAATTGATAATCTTGGTTTTTGCATAAATTATGTTCTAAGACTGATAGCAGATCGATATCTAGAAGCAAAGGCGAAAAAACAAATAAAAAATCAAATTTCCAACTCACAATACGGTCAAAAATGTTGTGATAAAATTTCAAAAGAAAATATGAAAATTGATTATAATACATTTCCTAAACGAAAAGGAGTTTCCAAAAAACACATAAAATATATATGGAAATCCTGAAAAAAGAACAAAACTTTTTCAAAAAGGAAAAAATATATTCGAAAAAAGAAACCAACAAGTGTTGTTGGAACAATCTTCTATGTAAATAAAATAAATTAAAACAAAACCAAACAAATAAATAAATA